ATAGAATAGAATAGAATAGAATAGAATAGAATAGAATAGAATAGAATAGAATAGAATAGAATAGCTTTTATCTGTCCCTCTGTGGGGAAATTCTGGTGTATTTTGCAAACGTTAAGTTAAAATTCTCTCTGAGATGTTTTATTGAAAAACTGCAATATGACATTGAACATGTTATTTTAAGGTTTGACTAAATTGTCTTCAACTCCATCATTCATCAACATAAGATTGATCTTGGTAAAAAAAATCATCTTTCACGAAAGGCAACAGGTGATATGCATTCCTTCAAATAATAATAGTAATAATTAAATAAATGCAATGGGAACAGGAATTAACCAGTTGAGACACCACAGGATGAATGTTTAGTCAGAAAATCCCAGAACTTACTGATGGGTTGGACCGGCTCAAAATTCCTAATAAAGATGATGTAACCAGCTACTGACCACAGCTGAAAGTAACAGTTGTCACTGCTCAGCCTGAACTGAGTGGATTTTTAAACTTTCTGTGTTTCTTTAACAAAGAAGTCCATTCCTATATCTATCTGCTACTGTGATGTCTTTAAAAATTAAAGTGGACTCTCTGAAGCTCTAATAATATCTTCTCACCAAACATGAAATGTTCACACGTCCTTTTCAAAGCTGAATCGGTTCAGGTCAGGCCTTATTTAGTCAAAACAAGAGCCGTGAAAATTGTTATTTATAGCCTGCCTGTCACGACCAACCGGTCTGCTCAGTGTGACCTGAGATGTCATAAAGACGTCGTAATGAATTCTTTTACTTTTTTAACAATGTTTTTCTATAAATAAATAAATAAATAAATAAATAAATAAATAAATAAAAACCCTTAGTTTAATGTTTGACAAGTTGTCTTCAACATTATTTTTTGCTGAATGCTTCTTTCCCTTGTGGCTCATAATGTGAAAAAAACCTTGAATGACACGAGTTCCTGTTTACAGTCTGAAGTCACCTGACATGACCGCCATGTTCTACAGATAAAGTGTGTCTAAGTCCACTTTACATCGACGTATTTATTGTTCAAAAGTGAGAAAAGTTTGAAGTTTTAAATGACTCTTTTTTTATATAAGCAAATGTATTTGAAAAACAAAAAATCGACAAATGAGAACGTACAAATATTTAAACTTATTTGAATAACTTCCTGACATCGATGAAGTCATGCTTCAGGGGTTTTGACATTTTATCATTTTAAGGCCTCGAGCTGTTCTCGTTTTCAGTGAATTCCTTTTTTTTTTTTTTTTAATCATTCTTTTGGTCTCATAGAGACAAACAATAGGTGTCTGTATTCATCCATGTAACCTTCAGAACCACACTCAGTCCAAAATGAAAGGATTATCTCAGAACCAGTAAASGTGGCTCTGTTGGGTCCTGATTAACTCACTATTACAAAAGGTTTCCCCTGAAAACCTGGGGAGGTGGGCGTGTCAMTCAGCTCTGTGGGAGGGGTGGGTGCTCTGCTCCCTCTCCTGTGGGTCATGTGACCACGTGATCCCTCGAGTCAGACAGAACTTGTGACGGAAGCGAGCAGCAGGTCGACTCTCTGACGGAGAAAAACTGAACAGTTTCTCCTTCAATCCTCCTCCTCAGCTCCGTTTGTCGACATGGACTGCGGGATCCTCACGTCGAAGACCATCCTGCTGTTCCTCAGCTTGGTGTTCTGGGTGAGCCGCGTTTTTCTGTTGTTTGTTTATTTATTTGTTTGTTTGTTTGCCTTTCCACCTGCTCTGATTTGAGTTTAAACGGAGGATATTCTGAGACAGGAAGAAGCAGCGTGCCTGCTGGCTTGAAAACACACCAGTAACACTAAATTAGCCTTTAAGGTGTTTATTTATTACTATTTTTTTATAGTCCGTTGTATATTTGCGCGTGTGCGCGCGCGCGTGATTGCAGCAAATCAAAGTTTGCTCACATCCTTGTGGCCTTAGTTCAACCCTATCACCGCTTCCTTTAAAAAAAATTAAAAAAAATAATAAAACCTTTAAATAACTACTGTAAAAATAGGGTTTTAATTTTGAGGAAATCCAATAAGTCTCACCCATCCAACTCTTGTGTCATTTCCAATCAGCAGCTGAACTCTGGCCCTCTCCCAGTGTCTGATCAAAGYTTAAACCTGCCTTTGTTTTCAAGTAAACTGTAGATTCATCACTGATCAGCTCTCTGTATGAGTATTTCTGACAAAAAGAGTTGTTAAACTAAATGTGATGAACCCATCTGTGCTTCATCCATGTTGTCACTTCCTTGTTTTCCTTCCTGCCCTTAACTCTCTGTTTTCTACAGTCGACTCTTTTATTTTCTTTGACATACATCATTTAAAATAATAAGTCCGTCTTGCTTTTTTTTTCCTAGACTTCACAATCAACATTTTCTTATCTGTTCTATCAAAAACAGATGAAAACCGTGTAATGCCATCATGTAAACAAAACAAAAATGGGAGTTTTTATTTTTTGTAAAACCAACAATCTTCACACTTAGGGCTTCAAATATCTTAAAAATAAAGGACCCACATGTGTCCATCTTGTTTTTCCAACTGAAGCTCAGTTGTGTAAATCGGTCAAACCTGCTCTTGTTTAGTCAACAGATCAGATTATAGAAAAAAACGTCTGTTTAAACTGATTTCGTCACTGCAGGAGAGTTAAACAGCTGTGTAAAATCAAATCGAAGGGTTTTTTTAACCTGTAAGGAAGATCCTTTATTTTCAGTTTTGTTTTTGTTGGTGTGTTTAGTAAAAAAAAACAGTTTTTTCTAAAAAGAAAATGGAATAAATTAGTTTTAATACTTAAATGAGGCAAACAAAAAAAACTACTTGTCCTCATAAGATAAATAATGAGTAAATAACCATTTTACATGATTTTTGCTGCTTCTGTAAGTTTTGCAGGGGAAACGATCAGAAGTGAAAGCTTTTATTCACCCAAAATGATTGGGAGCACCTGAGCAGGACCCCTTTCTCGTTGGCTTTCTTCCTTGTTTTCAAACATGACTTTTGACTGGAATGRGCTCTGAAGCGACTGACTGGTCCTGCCGAATCCCCAACATTTTTTCTTTTATCTCAAACTGAATCGAGGCGGCTTGTCGTGTGAAAGTTGTGTAAGCCTCTTTTGTGCTGCTTCTCGGGCACAAGATGAGATTCTCAGGAGAGATTAGTCGGGGGGGAGCAGCTGAGGAGGTGCAGGAGAACAACCCCACAGGGATCCCGTGACTGTGGAGTGATTAGAGAAGTGAGTCATGAGGCTGAACTGCGGGGTGAAATGTTGTTAGGCCATACAGAACGCACATCATTCCTGCATATAAACAAAGCAGAGCGGATCCAGTGTTCCACAGGAAGTCAATCTGGAACAGACTCTAATCGCTAGCAACAAATAAAGGACAAGTTATGATTGAAAATATATATAATTTTTTATTTAATCTAGTATGCAATATGTAAAAATATGTTCCCATRCCCTCTGGATTACGTTCCAATCCAAAAAGAAAAAGTAGACCAATAATATAACTTCACAGTCATTGTTCTCTCAGAGTCACGAACTCTTTCAGGTAAACATACCAGAAACCCAATAAACATCAGTGTTATAATAATAAAAGGATAAATATTTGATGTAATTGTATTCATGCACAGAACTGACTCATGCATGTGGTCTTATGATCTGTGATGTCACTGCTGAAGAATGACTCGTTCAAAAGTCATGATCAGGGTTCACATCTGATCACATGACTTCAGATCATTCAACAAGAGCAAACTAATTGTAGTTTTTTAAGKGTTTAGACAGGTTTGTTTCACTTTTTTGTATTTTTTTAATCATTGCKGGACTTAATAATCTTATAAGAAGAAAAACAAAAATGAGTAGAAGAATAGTCGAGAATAAGAGTGTTTTAAAGTTGTGTTAACTTATCAAAGACAAGAGTTTTGTCCTTTTTTATTAAGAGTTCATTAATATGCTCARAGGTGTAATTTGCTGGGTGMTTAGGGAGGTTTTGATCCACATAATTTGATCTAGTGAATATACCCCCCTCCCTCCCAAACAACCCCCWATAAAATGACATCATTTGCTAAAACACAGTAGACATTAGCTGTTTAAGTACACCGATGCAACTCTCTTGTTGTCTTTAGGTAACTTTGACCTGATTTCAAAATTTACAATGTCATACATTTAAGCATAATTGCTGAAAATGACATGCAGGGTTTTAGAGCATAATCTGCCCAATGGTAGACCTAAATGAATATGCTGCAATACATTCATGACTCACATTTCCCTTTTTTTTTTAAATTTGTTCAATAGAAGATAAATTCTGTGAAAATTCAAACGCCTAAAATGTTCAAGTCAAACATTTTATGTACATTTTACACTTGAAGTAGCYTGTCAGAAATATAGATTATGGCAGAAAGTAAGATTGTTTGAACTTCAGTCATTTCATTTTTTTGTCAAAATGTTCATAATTGAACAATAAAATAAGATTCCTCACATCTTAGCTTTATTTTTTTTTACCGGGTCATAAATTAAGGGCATGAGGGCGCTTTAAGTTTWCTGGGGTTTTTCCCTTTCTGTCACTGGGTGATGTAACCTGTTTAATGTGACAGGTTTATGATGTTCAAGTCCAGACGTCACATGAGAGTGMGTTTTCTCTTCCGTGGATGACGCAGCTTCTCCTCTGCCTGCCGTTTTTTTCCTTTTTTTTAATCACTTTTCTAGTTTATCTTGTTCCACATTTCTATAGCAGCTGTTGCAAAAGGGTGGAGCCGCACCAGACTGTGCAAAATATTTAAAAACATCAGCTGACACCCTCACCTGTTCAGCCACAGCGACATATGCAGCCAGCTCAACAAATGCTCAGGCTGTCTTATTGGCAAACAGCAACGTGACTCCAAGTAAAAGAAAAATGRCKCTTTKTGAGGTTGCCTTCAAAGAAAGATGMTTTTTTTCTTCCTGCAAATTATTTTAGACAGCAAGAAGGATTAGTGGTCAGCACCATAGCCTCACAGTAAAAGGGTCTTTGGTTAGATTTGGGGTCTTTCTGTGTGGAGATTGCATGTTTTCCTCCTTTCGATTTGTGAGAGTTTTCTCAGTGTGGTACTTTCATCCCACAATCCAACATGTATGTTTAGTCTGCATTCAGGTCCAAGTCTGCTTTGACAATGATATCTGATCTCAATGAGATTTGCCTAATTAGGTAAAGATTTTATAAAGTGATGCTTCCTTATATCTCCTCCTATATCTAGAGGTTGTTTTTCCTTCTTTTCCCCCNTTTAGTTTGTTTACACTGCAGCAGGAGCAGATCCAGGATGCTGTGTCACAATCTGCTATTTTTGACCAATCCCCGCAGACTGGGCTTGTGATGAGGGAGGTTCTTAAAGAAACACACACTAACCCGCAACGTATCAAATAAAAATACACAAATGTGTTTTATTATGTCTCCAAAGTCAAATTACAGAACTAGAATTTCTTCAAAACATTTGAAATCTCCTTTTTTTTTGTCCGGAGAGGCGCTTCCTGATCCGAGTGCGCCCATGTTAAACGTTTGTTGTGCTAATCTGACAGCGGCGCATACAAACCCTTTTGTTGAGACGGACACGTTCTCTCTTCCCCACAGGGCGCCGGGGCAGCGTTGGCCTACGTCGGGGCCTACATGCTCAGGAGCTATGACACCTTCGAGAGTTTCATCCAGGACAAGCAGACGCTAATCCCAGCCGCCATCGTCATCGGCATCAGCGTGGTGATGTTCATCTTCGGTCTGGTGGGATGCTGCGCCACGCTCCGAGAATCCAAAGTTGGCCTTTGCTGTGTAAGAATTTATTTATTTATTTATTTATTTATTTGTATATGCAAAGTGAAGAAGGAAAAAATCTGTGGATATTGTGCTTCTTAGCATTTTTGTTTGTTCAGCTGAAAAGTCTAAAACTGAAAATGCAACTGCAAACATTTGTGGTTTAAACACGCCACGAGTCATATTTAAGTTTTTTAGCAARGCATCACTTTTTTTCTCAAGATTTTACTTCATGATACATTTAAATTCTTTTTCTCTTCTTGCAGTTCTTTGTGATCATCATGCTAATCTTTGCAGCTGAAGTCACAGCTTTGGTATTTAGCTTCATCTACCAAGGGAAGGTAAGTCCTAAAAAGGTGTATTCTAACTTGTAAGATTTAAATATTTAAAATATGCTGTTGAAAATAAGTTTGTGCCGGCTGTAGAGCAGTTTTCCTATCTTCTGTGTTCTTCTGTCTGCAGATAGGTGAAGGCCTGGAGAAATCGATGAGTGATGTGTATGACAAGTATGATGGGAAAAATCCAGAGTCCCAAGCTGTGAATCTACTGCAGAGTGAAGTTAGTTTTGTGTTCCTCTGCGTATAATTAGATCTGTTCTCTCACTTCTACTTTTACACGAACCYACGTCTGCGGCTAGCTTAAATTCTCTTTCACCTGTTAGGTTTCATTTCCCCCATTTTTTTTAGTTCTTTCGTTATTTCCAAATTCCCCAGTTTGACTGTAATGTGAGCATGCTGACACTGCATGCGTGACGCATGCAGCGGAGCATGGCATCATGGTTGCCAGATAAATGTAAATATGTTTTCCGTGCACATGTTCACCAAACTTCTCCTGCAACATCCTCACTCAGCACAAATGACTGTTTGGGTCAACAAACAATGGTTTTAAAAGAACAGTGAAGAAAGGCCAGGCAGGRGAGTGTCCCCCCGCTTTGATGGTGAAACATCATTTCCTGAATACCAACCCACAGAGGAAACTCCGCCCCCTCATTTGCATATTGGACCATGAAATAAAACAACATGAAATGGTAAAACTGCATGAAATAAAAAGGGAGTTCAAAATGAAAGTCCCTGAAATATGTAAAGTAGCTTTACAAAATAAAAGTGTCACAAAATAAAACTACAATATGCAATAAATAAATACAAGAGTTCACCACTTCCTATCTGGCAACCCTGTTTTTTGTTTATTAGCCCATTTCCAGTGATTTGTTTCATTGTAAACAAGGCGCCAATAATCACAGCTCGATAAAATGCAACACTAGCTCAAATCTTGAATTTTTTTCCCCTTTTTCCCCCACTATCATGCTCAACCATCTGTGTCACCTTCTTCAAWGTCTTTATTATTGTAAAAAGTGCATCTGCTCAAAACATGTCCCTTAATTTCAAGGTATTTTGGACGTTACAGAACTTTATCACGTTTTGTCTCTCCAATGAGGTCTAACATTTAGATAATTTTATAATTATCCCATCTAATGTAACTGTTTGTGTCTCCAGTTGAAGTGCTGTGGTGTCTACAACATGAGCAGCTGGCTCGACACACCCTGGTTCATCGCTAATAAGACAATACCTCTGTCCTGTTGTAAAAACACAACGCAGTGCAACGGTGAACCGACTCAACCCAACCAGTTTTATTCAGATGTAAGTCAGACTGAAGCACTTTGTTCTTTTTGTCAAACGCTCCAGTCTACAGTARGATGGTATTTCTGTGTGCAGAGCTGTGTGCTGTTCTTTAAAATAAAAATCTAAATTCCCATTCTGTAATAAGGGAACATAATAAAGGGTGTGCACTGTAAACGCTGATGTGAACTTCCTCTTTGTATTTCAGGGTTGTGAGCCCAAATTGGTGAAACTGCTGCACGACACTATGACCTACGGCATGCTGGTCGTTCTTGGGTTTGCCATCATCAAGGTAACTTGGAGCTCAGCTTTTTAATAAGCTTTACTCTTCGTAGCAACACAGAGAAACTCACGAGTCAGCGCAAACAGTTTGTGTGCAAAATGCGCTCCTGTAAGATCTATTTTAAATAGTTGGTTTTCAGAGCTTATCTAATGTGCAGCAAAACATTTGGTCAATGAAAACCACGCTGGAGTACTGCAGAGTAGAGTTGCACAAATTGAATATTATATGTGTTGTTAAATGCTCTTATGAACAAAGTCAGTTTTGAAACAAACGGGTCATCGTGGCATCCTCTCAGCCACTTCAGCATTTATTCGCTTCACAGATTGAATTACGCTTTTCTAAGGAGGTGTTTTAAGAAAAAAAACTGAATTAAAGGAATAGTTTAGCACTTCTGAGCTGAATATCCTTATTATCCTGTAGGATTTTCTATAATTCTAGTTGGACACGTTCAAGCTTTTTCATAATCTTTCCCCAAAGTACATTAAAGCCTGAGTGTAATCTTGATTTATGATTCCCGTTGCAGTTCTTTGGAATGCTGAGCGTCTGTGTGATAACCTGTCGAAGTAACAGCCGAAGAAARGGCTACCAGGCGATTTATGGCTGAAGCACCAACGGGATCCACCTCCTTGTCTTGTTCTGCTGGGTTCGCTGACTGCTTCAGTTTCGTACAGAACCATCCATTCCTCTTCCAACTTTAAAGTGCATTTAAATAGTTAGATAGGAAACCTTATAATCTGAACGGACTCGTATCCCAGCATGCCTCCACACGTGTAATCAACAGAACTGTAGCTCTTTCTAAGTAAACTTTTGTTTAGAAATGGACATGACTTTTTTTTTCACATTTTTCTTTCCTTTTTTTTTCTTTTTTTTTTTTGGCATTCAGTTGCTGTGAGAGAGTCTCATTTTCTATATTCTCTCAGCCCAGTTATGGTTTTAATCTGGGGGATAAAACAAATTAATGTAATGTAGTAATCTGAAAATTTGATTCCATTCGGATTTTTTGCTGAAAGTTTTTTTTTTTTTTTTTGATTTGATTTTATTTTTCTGATGCAACTTCTCGTTTTGACATAATCTGATCAGAGTGCAGCTGGCATCAAGGTCCTGTATTTGTTCACCGTTCTGCTGCGCTGTGTAGATAGTTTTTGAAGGACATTGATATTTGAATGTGCTTTAATGAATGACTTCAAATTAGATTTTAGGTGTGATTGTTGACACAAGGATGGTGGTTTTTTTTTTTTTTTTGCCTTATTTAGGGTTGCAATATTTAWAACAAACTAAGAAAACGTCACTCTGTGGTTATTCACTGTTCTGATATTGGTTCTAGTTTGGCTCTTACTGTGTTTAATTTTATAAGTTAAAAAGGTGAATATTTCATTCACATTGATATTAACTTCGGTGTAATTATATCCCATCRTTATGTTGATTTGTCTTGCTGTTCATATTAAAATCTCCCTCGTTACACACACTGTCAGGTTATGGTTTGTTGCTGAAGAGTGGATTTATTATTTTCTTTTTATGAAGCGCTCTGTTGTAGACTGAGCTTCTTATTAAACGGGACCCACAGTGGTTATCTGTCACCTTCTGACTCTGCTGATAAAGAGGCCCCAAGAGTGGCACACACAGATGATAGGCCTATTCATCTCACATAAGCTCTGTCCGTGTGCAGAAAGATAAATAAAATGTCAAACTCCGCTCTGAGGTGCTGTTAGACYTAGCAAACAGGTTGCCAAGTCACGGGAAATAGTTTCTTGGTGTAGCATTTGTTTTTACACATGATCTGCTACAGAAGATTAGAAGATTAAAACAAATGAGATGAGCTCCCTCAATCCTTCTGAAAAAAAAAAAACATGTGCCCTAACCCTAACCCCAGCCATGTTTTATCATATTGATGTTTAGAAATTTACTTTCATTTAAAATTCARCACCTAACTGAGCTAAAACAACCAGAAACACATGAGGTGCAACAAGATTAGAGCTGAAGAATGAAAAGTGAAAATATGTAAATGAAGAAAAAGCAAAGCAGCAATGTGATATTGAAACTAAAATTCTGAATAATAAAAAAGTAACTTTAAGGACTACAATTTATGACTTAAGTCCACCATTAGTGTCATAAAATCTAAAAATTATGAATTAAGTAATTAATATTTTAATTTATATATATATATATATATATATATGCAGTCAAAAGTGTGTTTATTTTCATCCTCCTAAATAAACTTGTTTACTTGTGCAGCTACTATCATGTCAACATGCAGGTTGTTGCAGTAACATGTAAACTCCAGCTGATGGTGCTAAAGATCTTTAGCTGATAAATTGCCTTAGCGACCTTTTTTTTTTTAGCAGAAGTAACAAACTATTATTTTTTTGGGTTTGTGGCAGAATAAGTTGCAGTTTGGTCTCCAACTTTTTTAGCTCACATATCAAAGGTCACTTTTGTGTTTTCTGGATATACGAATTTGTCATTAAAATTAGAATAAGTCTAATTATGACTGTCATTGGGGTTTGCACCATAGAGTGAGCAATAAGCTTTTAAATGACACATAAAGTCAATTATTGGTCATAAAACTAGAAAGGAAAACTAAATGTAAATGCATTGAGGTTGTTTCCTGGTATTTTGTTGTTTATGTCAAAAAGACTAAAATTCTTCATCAAAATTTTTTTATCACTGTATTGAAAAAATGAACACTTGTTTTTGAACTTTTAATTGCTCTCCCTTCATGCTATTGAGCTCTTTCTGACTGTGAAGCTGAATTAATGATGGAAACGAGCCAGCTGCACCGGCCCAGTCCTTCGGTCTCATATCTCTTAACTCCATATCTTATTCGGCACACATCCTGGCTGCCCTCAGGCTGTGCTGACATTTAGACAGGTCGTACTTTTACACAGAGAACTCTGGGCACGAGCACTATCAGATATCCTTGTCAGTCCTCCAGACCTGCACCCCCCATGCTGCTCAAACTGTCTTTTTGTCTTGTCTCACATTTATTCCTGTGTYTATTTCTTCCCTCCATGCTCCATGGTTTCATTTTTTTTGTCACAGCTATGCTTTTTTTTAATATAGAGTTTTATTTGCACCTCTGCCTCCTCACTCCTCCTGTTTTCTGTTGTGCATTTCTGCTTTTCTCCACTTTGTTTTTCGCAAGTGTTAAAGATGATGGGATGCATTTTCACTCACTAATTTTACTGCCATATAGAAATTAAAAAGTGCTTTAATATTAAGAGACATTTTCTAACCATGACTTTAAAGCAATCCAACAACACAGAGAGAGGAACATATTGCATGGCTGCAGTTGTTCTTGCATATGATTTGGCGTTACAAAATTTTCTACTCCCCTTTGAGTCATATTTGCACAAACAGCTGCGTCCCCTCTCTTTTTAAGTTTTTTTCCTATTCAGGCCATCGCCTCACCGGATAGAAACTCATCCCAAACATGCGCAAAGTGGACCAAATAATCCAGATGCCATCACTGACGTCTAACTTATTTATTTCCTTTCATAGGATGGGGATCTAGTGAAAGGATGTAACCTGAGGAGGTCATAAATGCAGTGCTGCTGCTCACTTTGTGCCAAAGTGAGATAAACAAAAAAGACAGGACTGCAAGTTTCTGTGTCTTGGTGCCCATCTGAACATTCTCTCTCTCTTTCTCTCCTAAAAAATATTTCAAAGAGTGCTCAGCTTTACAAAATGCCCTCTCTGGATTTGTTTCATTCCTGCCTGTTTTATTACAAAWCTGCTGGCTTTCAGATCAAACGAGAGCCCGGCTCAGCACAGGCAGTCTGAAGTGCTCTGCAGAGTGTTTTATTGCATATTTGTCATGAAAACAGAGCCTATTTTCTTATTAAAGACAGCACAGTGTCAGGTTTGTTTTTCCTCTCTGCTGTTATTTCCAGGGCACACAGCTAAATAATGATCATCCACCGCCAAGCTCAGGATCAGGTGCCTGTGAGAATATACTGCATGTGTGTGTGTGTGTGTGTGTTTCTGGAACTAGGCATCCACAGCCGACACTGTGATGTTTCCATTTGTCAGACGTTATCAGTGTTAATTAGAGAGAGCAGCCAGAGGGAAAAAAAAACCAGCACCACAGCACAGACACTAGAGAACAAAGACTGAAATAGACCTGGATCACAGCATAATCCATATTCTGTGTAATGACTTAGACTCTTTATCCTGGAGGTCAGTTACATTTCTCCTCTGTCGTCTATACTTGCCTTTTCTTAAACATTTTATTCCTTTTACTGATGGTGCACTTTGGTCTCGAGGCTAGTGGGGCAKAAACTTTAAGCTACAGTGTTTAGCTTCATGCACTTTTAGGAAATTTGTTTGTTTTATTGCCATCCATGACCTACTTGGTTAGATCAAATTTTGAAAAAAAAAATATTAATAAAATAACAGCAGTAACCTTGTCACCCAAACAAAGAAATATGTTTGGTACTTTATAAATAAATCTTATATTGTTGGGTAGCCTGTTAATTTKCCTTTTAGATGATGCCACATTTGTAAGGAACATGCATTTGTGGGATGAGCAGTAGAGCTGAGTATGTGGGTTGGGCACATGAAAAATTTGCCAAACAGCTTATTTTGCTGTTGCTATTGACACTTATTTTGAGCTTCTGGTACCCAAGTGCTGCCAATCAGGTGACCGGTATAAGATTTATTGCCAAGAAGTGTTACAATAAAATAAAAAATAAAATAAAATAAAATAAAACTACCAAACACAAATTTCCTTATTTTTTGTGCTAAGTATGTTATTTTGTTAGTCTTAGAGTGTACCAGTCCATCACCTAAACATTTGACAAACTGTTAATCAATTATTTGATGTGTGATAAAGCAAAAAAAAAAAAAAACGAACACTAAAAAGGACWATGTTTAAACCATGAAGTCCTTGTGATTGTCTCATYCCATTCATAACATCTTCTGCCTTAAATTAATATTAATATTTATTTTTATTTTTACTATTGTGTTCCAGCTAGACACATTATCTTTAGCACTGAATTTAAGAGGGGATCTCCTTRATGAAAGATGTGACATTTTGCCTTATTGTGTTCCTTTACAAACTTAAAACCTGTTTTTCACAATTTTTAAAAACTTTGCTCTTGGGGCACCCACAGAGAAAAGCTCCACCGTATTGTTTTAGTCTCTTYAGTGATTCTGAATAAACTCCCAGCTCTGCTGCCTTCTCTGGTGGTTTTTCAGAACTAATCAGCTGCACACTTCCAAGAATCTGCCTACAAATATGAGCAAATTTGGAAAAGACTGCCTTTCCAAGTTCATTATGTAGTGTAATAAACTTAAGGATTCAGTATAGAATGAGACTTTTTTTCTTTAAATACTACTGTTTTAACATTTAGCATTGCATAGAACAGGTATATTTTATATGCTTCTAGTTTTTGAAGCTGATGATTTGTACAAGTTTCTTTTATAAAAGAGGTAATTGATCTGCATGGTTACTCCTGAGAACATGAATAAAGAGTCAGAACAACATAAAAATACAGAAGCATCTCAGTGACTGCCCTCTGCTCATCTGAAATACAGAGCTGACATGATAACACCATGTTCAGTTTATTACATTACAGGACAAAACACTAATGGGTCTGTTACTCTATCAWTCCCTCCAGCTGCAGCACCTGTTAGAATCATTAATTCATTCAGTATGACCTGTTTGAGTTGTTTGTATTGTTTCCAACAAACCGATTCCTAACTCTTTCCCAACCACAGACAAGAAGGCACTTTAAACGAACCGACTGTTGCAAAGAACAGCCTACAAGATACAGCAAACATTGGCAGAGCTTTGCATTTTTTTTGTCAGGGCTTGTGTTGCACTTCCTCCATGTTCCATCAAAACCCACACAATGTCTTAGGTTCACCTTGTTCTGAAGCAGTCAGAAAATGTTTTCAGAAAAGTAAAAAACAAAAAACAACGTTCAATGCTTTCACTGTGGAAAATTAAAAAGCAATGACTAGTCTAATTTGCTTTTAAACCTGAAAGCAGAGATCACGAGCAGAAAAAACAAGTATGAAACAGTTTTGGTGAGTTTGGTTGGGATATGTTTTTATTCCCTTGATTATTG